AACTTCATATAAGATAGAAAGAGGCCCTAGTAACCAAAACATTATTGAAGAACAACCACCAAGTAGGAGACCTTACACTTTCCAAATCTCAGAACTTTCTATACAGCTACAGAAGACAAAATAGGCATTGGTACCACAACAGACACATGGACCAATGGAGTAGAATTAAGATCCCAGAAAGAAACCCATCCAGCTATGAAGAGCTAGCTGATCTTTGGGAAAGGATGGAAGTCCGTTCGGTGCAGAAGAGATAGCCTCTATAACAAATAGTGTTGGCAAACTGGATATCTATTTGCAGAAACAAAATCACCATTTTACACAAAACTAATCATGCAAAATGAATCACCAAACACAAAACTAATAACGCAAAATGAATCAAAGATTAAACATGAAACTATAAAGTTCCTGGAACAAAAGTGTAAGGACAAAGCTAGGGGTTTTAATTTATGAACCATAACTGAAAATGCATAAACAACAAAAGATTAACTAGATAACTGGGACCACCTGAAAATTAAGTACTGATGCTCATCAAAAGACTTTGCCAAAAGCATACTCAAGCAGAGGTTAGGATTTGCAGCTATATTTGGGAGACATAATGGCAGCCATACATTGAATGCATCCTCTTGTCCCTCACACAATCTTCCTGCCAGTTCTATTTTGAGTGACCATTTTGCCTTCTCTCTTTCCTTTTCCTGGCAACAGGGCTCATCTACTCTGGAATCCTGGTAGAAATGTGGCTCTTACTTCAGCAAGTCGAAAGTTTGTTGCTGATTCATTGATACAGACTGAGCAACTCTGGTCAAAATCAGTCATTATTTCCCCTATACTCCCATAGTTACTTTATACAGACTTTAATTACACTTCATGCATTGAGTGATTGTTGATCTTGTCTATTGGCCCATTCCACTGAGAGCGCTGAAACCGTGCTGTTCATTCTTGTTCTCCCAGGTGGGGACAGACAGGCACAGCCTACTGAGCTGGCCTCCTGAATTCACACTCTGACCTCCTAAGCACTGAGAAAATAAGTTTCTGTTCTACTTGTGGTATTTTTGCAACGGCAGCACTAGTGCCTTTTGGAGAACAGGTGGCAAAGGGAGAAAAAGGCCAGGGGAATTTTAAAATCCTACAAAGTAAAAGAGAAACGAAAAATGGGACTGTACACAATTCATTCTCACCCCTACCCCACAAAATCAAAACTCAAATTCACTGTCGTTAAGTCTACTAGGACATGTTAACACTGCCTCTGCGGGATTCTGAGACTGTAAATCTTTATGGAAGTAGAAAGGCTCATCTTTCTCCTGAGGTGGTTTCAAACTACTGACCTAGAGGTTAGCAACCCAGCGGGGCTCCTATTACGCCACTAAAAAGGCCATCCTTTAAAGAAACTGCACTTCACTTGGTGACAGAAGAGGGCACTGTTCAACTAGAAATCTTGTTAGCCATCAGAAGCCACCAACGCTATCCGTGGAATTAATACACACAAAAAGACCCTCCCGGCCATTGAGTCCATGCTGACTCAAGGTGACCCCCTGCGGGTTTCCAACCTGGAGGAGACTGTAACTGTTTAAGGAAGTAGAACGCCCATTCTTTCTCGCACAGAGCTGCTGGTGGTTTCAAACTGCTGACCAGTGAGTCTACAGCCCAGTGCATAAGTACTACCCCACCACGGCAGGGCTCTGTGGGATTAATAGGTAAAAGCAATCTACCTAGTTTTCTCTTTAAATTAATTACTTTAATTCCGTAGAATTGATAGAAATAAGTGTCTTTTTGAAAGAGAGAAGAATTATAACATTTTTCTTTGGAAAGCCTCCGCACACAAAAAAGACACCAAACCACAAAGTAGAAAAAACCTATAATTAGTAAAATAAGCTGAAGTAGTTATTCTCAAAAAAGCATTTGAGAATATGAAGAAATTCCAAAATAAGATTTAAAATGGACTTAAAAAACAGGGGAGAAATGAAAAGAGAGTGGTTGAAATCAGAAGAGAAATAAAAGGAAAAGACAAAATCCTATCAGAAATGAAGACTAAAGTTTATAGTTCCCATATAAGAATCTATTAGAATAAAATTGGAATAAGGGGCATTAAGGCAATATATTAAAACAATCAAAAGAATAAAAATGAATTTGTAATAGTAAAAATGGTCAAAGATAAAATGTTCAAAAAGGGATAAATATGGGCAGAGATAACATATAATTTAAATCTCTGACTAAGAAAAACAAGCCATAAAAATAGAAATATTTAAAATTATAATCCAGGGAGAGTGGGGGAGCAAGGGGGAATCGATCACAAGGATCTATCTAGAACACCCTGTCAGGGGGACAAATAACGGAAAAGTGGGTGAGGGGCGACAGAGGATGATGTAAGATATGGAAATAATCTATAACTTATCAAGGGTTC